AATGCTCACAAAGATGTGAAGGAAGGAGAATTAGATGAAGAGGAACGCATGAAACTAACCAATAATGAAATACTTGGACAGGTGTGTATTCCGTGTTATCTCTACTATTCGGCCCTGTGACCCATGACCAGTTGCTTCCTTGTTGTTTCAGGGCTGTTATGCAATGGTAGTTATCCTCATTTCTTAGCACGTGGCTAATTTATTTCCATGCCACGCATTTGCCCTCATCTCTGATTTGTTTCATGTTGGCGTTGTGTGTATTTGGCTTGTAGTTGGTTTTCCCTTTTGCGTAATACTTTCCTATTTCCATTATTGTTAAATCAGTGTGGTGACAATCTCAAATGATATGTTACATTGTTTCATCTAACGAGTGTTACAATAAATTCCATTAACACAGTGTGCTATAATAACCGAAGACGAAACCATTTCATTAACCCCCAGAGTTTAACATTCTACTTAGCTGGTTATGAAACTACGAGTACCATGATGTCATACACTGCGTATTTGTTAGCTACCATCCCCATATACAGGATAAGCTGCGTGACGAAATCAATGACGTAATGATACGACACGATCATCCTGGCTATGATGCCCAACGTGAGATGTCATACTTGGACCAAGTCTGCTGCGAAGCTCTGCGTATCTTTCCACCCATTACATCGTAAATATTTTATCTTCGCTACTTCTCATTTATTCGGACAATTTACAACAGACCTAGTTATGTCTTTTTTGAACCGTGTCGCAAAACTCTTTGAAAGGTCGCCGGAAAAGTAATGAATAATGTGAAAGATTCATTAATTACCTTAAACGTAAATCTTTTTTTAAAAAATGTCATCATAACACAGTGTATAAAACATAATATAGCCATGCAACAATATATATATATATATGAAATATTGAAATTAATTTGTGAATCGTCTTACAATATTTCATTCTGTGAGCATTTGTTGCTTTATTTTAGAACAGACCGTCAATGTAGCGAGGATTGTGTCATTTCGGGTAATATATTTGTCCCAAAAGACGTTAATATCCACATACCTATTTGGGCAATTCACCATGATCCGGAAATATATCCTGATCCTGAGAAATTCGACCCTCAAAGGTGATGTTAAATTTGAATATAATTTGAATAATATTCTGGTTATCATTATGAACAATAAGTTTTTTACGTTGTCTATTTAAGTTAAATATTCTTCGTATACAATAGTGAAAAATATGCATTATTGCTACCATCAATTATCGCATTCGTAATAATGTTGTTTGATTTACAGATTCTCTGCAGTGGAACTTAACAAACGACATTCCTATGCATGGCTTCCATTCGGCGGTGGTCCTCGTGTGTGTCTTGGGATGCGTCTTGCGATGTTAGAATCAAAGTACGCTATTGTGAGAATTCTGCAGAAATACAAGTTGGAGACGTGCGCAGAGACTGAGGTATGTAAAGCCCCTTTCACAATTGGTGCCAAACAGACTACAACGGCTTGCGACTCGAAATTTTTCCCGTTGTACGACTCGTTGTAGCCGTTGTACCACTTATTGTACGATCCAGATGCGACAAAATGGTCGCATCTCGGTCGGGGAAAAAAACCGTGCTGCTCCGATATTTTGAGCGACTGACGCGATGAAAAATAATTGCACGACAGGCAGTACGAGTGTTGTGCGACTTTGCACGCACTCGTAAGACCCCGAACGAGTGTTGCACGAGTATTATCATGTCGTACGATGATGCGTTCTGTCGTACGAGTCCGTTGTACCACCCTAAGACTATTGGAAGACCTGTCTTGCCCCCTTTGCAACGTTGTACGATTTTTTTTCACCCCCAATATAAGCTCGAGAACTCCTGAGCTTTCATCCCAAATACGTACGATTTTATATATTGCTTGCGACTCAAAGACAACACTTCTACAACAGGACGGAAAAAATATTTTCGAAAAAAACATTATCGCACGAGTGAGGCGCCAATTGTGAAAGGGGCTTTACGATTGTGTAATTGAAGTAAGGTACAAATGTTGATTTACTCAGCGCTGTAAAAACAATTTGTGATATCACCTGATG